GAGTTGGCTTTTCAGCCTTAACCCTCACTCTCACTTTCTCACTTCCAAAGTGAAAATGTCTCAGATGAAGAGGTCCTCAGCATTGAATCAGCTTTAGCCAACATTCTAGCATTTTCCAGCCTCAGGTATTTAGACTCAGGACCTAGCACATGGAAATGTCCTCTCCTCTGCCCTCCACGTGAGAATGGTTTCTTGAGAGTTTTCTTTTCCCTCTGCTCTCCCCCTCCCCCATTTTAATTTTTATCTTCTTTGTTTTCTTGGTGTGGAGCCATACCTGGCAGTACTCACGCTCACTCTGGCGGGGCTCAGGGGACCACAGTGGTGCCAGGGATTGAGGCCGGGTTGGGCGTGTACAAGACATGCACCCCCCCTATTGTCCTGGCGCTCCACGCCCTCCTCCTCTGTTTATATAAGTTTTGTGTGTGTACACACAGGGAGGGGGAATATTTTCTTATGGTTGGATCATGTGTCCCATTTTATATTTCCATATTCCTAATTTGAAGGACATGTTCTTACTGCTGTTTCAGAAAAGTATTCTTCATATGAATATTCTATACTGAGTTTATTCTATAAGTATGGTTAATTTGGTTCTTTCTCCCCAATTTGGAAGTGAATAGAACTTAATGCTTTCAGCGTTGGTATTAATTTAACTTAAGCCAATTAGAATTTTTTAAGTTAAGTGCTACTGGGTAATGTTTATTTATTGATCAGGAGCAATTAAGGCAAATTGAAGAGCTTGTTCCATTCTTAATGACTAAATGTTCTTTATTAACTTAGGTGGGCTGGAGCGATAGTACAATGGTAGGGCGTTTGCCTTGCGCGCAGCCGGCCCGGCCAAGCCAGGTTCGATTCCTCCGTCCCTCTTGGAGAGCCCAGCAAGCAACCGAGAGTATCTTGCCTGCATGGCAGAGCCTGGCCAGCTACCTGTGACGTGTTCGATATGCCAAATACAGTAACAACAAGTCTCATGATGGAGACGTTACTGGGCCCGCTCAAGCAAATCGATGAATAATGGGACGTAGCCCAAACTGTGCAAACAGCGGACTTAAGATAAATTAACTTTCCAAGGAAATTAAAGATAGCTACTGTTAGCTTCAGTCACCTCGGTGTTAAATGCGCTCCGGTGAAACTAGAGGTACCATCGAGAGTCCTTACAGCCGAGAGCCGGATCCCTCCCGGGTCACAGAGACAGTGCCTTCCTGCCAGCTGTCTCTCCCGGATACCTGGAGGCTGAATAGCCGTGTGGTACTCAGAACCTGGTACTTGGAAGCGCAGTGTGGTACTTCTGCTGCTAACCGAGGCATCGGGAGAGTCACAGGGGGGTGGTGGGTGGAAGGTGGGGCCGGGGGGCAGGGCACAGAATGGGTGTTTTGGTGCCGGGGCTCGACTCAGGACAACCGGACCCACTCGTTCCGTTTCCATCTACAGCGACAGTTCATAGACTCCAGTTTGTGCTGGAGTCGGGAATCTCTTTCCATCAGTCATCCTGCAAAGGGTGGTCGCTCAGGCCCGGGGAGGCCTTGTCAGGGGCCCCTCCGGGATGAAAGTGATTTTATTAGCTGTGAGAATACAGATTCTCCCAGGGGTGTTTGGGGATGTTTTCCAGAGCCCGCACGATGGCAAGAACTGAAATGCAGAAGCAGAGAGGAACAGCCAGCTGACTTCTGATAAGCTGAGCAGAGGAATTGGCAGAAACGTAAAGCCACCATTTTCCTCCTCCCCCCTACTTTTTCTTTTCTTTCTTTCTTTTTTTTTTTTTGGCAGGGGACCTTGGAAAATACTGATTTTTTTTACAACAATTTTTAACACACTGGGTTTATTGTTATTTAAAGTGAATTAGAAAAATGTATGTTTAAAAGGCCTCAGTTTTGAGTTGTGGGTGCTCACGTTGCATGTCTGTGGGCCTGGTTTCATCCTGGGCATCTCGTGGGGTCCCCCAAGCCCCGCCAGGAGTGACCCTGTAGAATCTCTCCAACTCATTCACTTTTTTTTTTTTTTTTTTTTTTTTTTTGCCTTTTGGGTCATACCTAGCGATGCATTGGGATTACTCCTGGCTTTTCACTCAGACATTACTGAGTGCCTGAGTGCAAATCCCCTGGTGGTGCTCAGGGGACCATATGAGATGCTGGGAATCGGGTCAGCCGAGTGCAAGGCAAACTCCCTACCCGCTGTACTATTGCTCTGGCCCCTCATTCACATTTTTTAAACTCTATTTTTGCTTTGTTTTGATTTTGGTTTTTTGTCCATACCCACCCAGTGATGCTCAGGGGTTATTCCTGGCTCAGCACTCAGGGATTACTCCTGGTGGTGCTTGGGGGACCAGGTGGGGTGCCAGGGAAGAACCCAGTTTTGCTGTCTACAAGGCAGGCACTCCACTCGCTATATTCTCTCTCCTCCCCCGTGCATCATTCACACTTGAATAGAAAAAGGTTGGTCAGAAAAGGACTATTGCTACATTTTTTTTTGTTTTATTTTTTTTTTTGGCTACTCGTATACCCTCGACCGAAGACCAGTCCAGCTGGAGCGATAACACAGCGGTAGGGCGTTTGCCTTGCACGCGGCCAACATGGCCGACCCGAGTTCGATTCCTCCGCCCCTCTCGGAGAGCCCGGCAAGCTACCGAGAGTATCTCGCCCGCACGGCAGAGCCTGGCAAGCTCCCCGTGACATACTCGATATGCCAAACACAGTCACAACAAGTCTCACAATGGAGATGTTACTGGGCCCGCTCGAGCAAATCGATGATCAACGGGAGGGCCTTTACCTTTTACCTTTTTACCTATTTTTTTTGGGGGGGGGGTTATTGTTTATTTCTTTATTTTTATGTAAGAGTACTGCTGTTTACTCAGCCACTGATTAGCTGATTGAATTGCTCTTGCCACATTTTAAGAAGCTTAAACAAAACCCAAAACACCAACCCAAAAATCAAGTTCCATTTGACTTGATTTACTGGCTTGGGTAGAGTAAAGATAGTTCCCAGGTGAGCCAGCCTCCTTGGAGGCGAAGAGCACGAAAAAGGCACGGATGTCAGCTTGCGAGTTCTCTGGTCTTGCCATCACAGTATTGCTCTATCCGCTCCTGGATTTTCAGTTTCTGAGATTTCTCACTGGTGACTGCGCTTGCCGGTTCTTTCTAGAGGGAGGTAGGCGGCCCCGAGTGGGGCACGACCCCTGACTCTCAGGACCCACTGGAAAACCCGTCGGTGGACAAACTAGTCGTGGCTAGATTCAGAACAGACCAGTAAAATGAAAGCAGGGACTGAGAGGGTCAGGGACGAAGAGCAGGATGAAAATGGGCGGGTGCGAAGATGGTTGCTGGTACACGTGGATTCAGACATTCAGACCGGCTGTTTCTCAAGATGATGCTTGTTGAGTCCATATTCCTTGAGTTCATATTTGGCTAATACATTTTTCTGAATTTATGAGTGGACATTAGACATAATTTGTCCTAGAAGGATGCACTGTAGCACTGTCCTCCCGTTGTTCATCGATTTGCTCGAGCGGGCACCAGTAACGTTTCCACTGTGACACTTGTTGTTACTGTGTTTGGCATAACGAATATGTCACGGGGAGCTTGCCAGGCTCTGCCGTGCGGGCAAGATACTCTTGGTAACTTGCTGGGCTCTCCAAGAGTGGCGGAGGAATCGAACCTGAGTTGGCCGCATGCAAGGCAAATGCCCTACCCGCTATGCTACATTGAAATCGTGGCAGAATTTAGACTAGTCCCGCAGTCACTCAGTTTGCTTTAACTTGAAGGTCTTCTGCCCTCTGCCCTTGGTGCCCATCTTGCATATCACCCCTCACCCTTCTCGTCCCCATGTCTGTGCCGGTCGCGGCTCTGCCCCCAGGACCTCCCTTCCCGAGCCGCAGGCCGGGCCTCGGAAAATATGTCATTCAGAGAGATCTGTGATGGGCCCTGGTTTCTCCAGAGGCTGTTAAGTCTCTAGGTCTTGGCAGTGTAGACTGCCGGGAGTTAATTTCCAGGCCTCCTGTTGGTCACCTCATGGCCCCCTGTTCTACTGAAAACTGTAGGTGTTTGTAGCAAAACAGTCCTGACTTTCTTCAGAGTACTCCTGATGTGAGTGTGAACGCTTAGAGTTCACTTGGAGTACTCTTTCATGATAGATGGTGGAAGTGCTCCTTTGTAAAGGTCCAAATACCTGAGATTTAGAAATCACCTCAGCCCTGTGCTACCTATTTCAGTCTCTTGTTCCCCCGCACAGGGACTTTTCTCCCCTTTCTTTCCTGGGTCTGTCTACATTTTGTGAGGAGGTAGGTAGAGGACAGCCCTATGTCACCGGGTCTGTGAGGAGGTGGTCTCAGGGGGCCTGGTGCACTGGGTCTCTGAGGAGGTAGGCAGAGGACAGCCCTGGGACACTGGGTCTGTGAGGAGGTGGGCGCAGGGGCCCTGGGACACTGTGTCTGTGATGAGGTGGGCAGAGGACAGCCCCGGGACACTGAGTCTGTGAGGAGGTGGGTACAGGGGGTCTGAGGCACTGGGTCTGTGAGGAGGTGGGAGTAGGGGTCTGGAGCACTGGGTCTATGAGGAGGTGGGTGCAGGGGCCCTGGGATACTGGGTCTGTGAGGAGGTTGGTGCAGGGGCCTGGGACATGGGGTCTGTGAGGAGGTGGGCACAGGGGCCCTGAGGCACTGGGTCTGTGAGGAGGTGGGTGCAGGAGCCCTGGCTTGAGGGGGGGGGGTCAGGGCCCCCTCCAGCCCGCTTCTTTCCTTACCCAGCTTTGCTATGGGACAGAAAAATACAGTTGAATATTTATTTACTTTTCCCCCACAAAACTGACGTCCTACTGGCAAATTCTAAACCAGCCTGATGGATGCTGAAGTGAATTTCTTCTTCGTTCCTGTTGGGGGCGGAAGGTGGACCCATGGCCCGTGTCGCCGACTGACCAGGGCTGCCTCTAATCGGAAGGTGGCAGAGGGTGGGGAGCCACGGTGGCCCCAGGGAGATCCATGACCCACGGGCCTTTGCATGTGCCGCCCGCAGGCTGAGAAGCCCCCATTCGGGCCCGAGTGCGGCTTCGGCTCCTTCCACCAGCAGTACTGGCTGGACGGCAAGATCATCGCGGTGGGCGTCGTGGACATCCTGCCCCGCTGCGTCTCCTCCGTGTACCTGTACTACGACCCCGACTACTCCTTCCTGTCCCTGGGCATCTACTCTGCGCTACGGTAAGGCCTCAGCTCACCCCCGCTCCATGGCAGGTCACAGTCGCAGGAGCCCGGTCGATAACCCAGACGGGTGCACGGTCCCACTTAGCCACGAATCAAAGCCCCTGATACATGCAGCACATCTCTCAGGTGACATGCGACAAGCCTGAGTATGGAAGGAGATGGTGCAGAAACCCAACCAACTGCACACCTTGCCGAGAGCACTGTCCGACTGGCTTTGCACTCAGATTTGAAGGAACAGTACAGAGCGTCAGGGACAGGAGGAACTTCTTGCCACGTGGCCTTGAGTACGGTGCTCACTGATGGTGTGCGTGGTTGTTCTCCACTAGATCAGGAAAGGTTAGAAACGTGAAGCAGTTCAGCATCATAATTGACTTGCTGGTTTTCTAATAATTCTCTCTGCCATTCTTTTAAGTTGTATTTTAATTATTTATTTTTTTGACCAAGTCCTAGAAAATAAATTTGTTATATGCTTGCAAGGGTCCAAAAGAAGCCAAACAGAGCCTCATTTATGACAGGGAAGCTATGCTAATTGCCACAAGGATAAAATAAAATTTAATGCAGTATGTTTTAGATGCTAGAGTTGGAAACGTAGTTATGTAAATGAGAATAGGCAGTATGGTTTTTTTTTTGTTTTTTTTGCTTTTTGGGTCACACCCGGCGATGCACAGGGGTTATTCCTGTCTCACGCACTCAGGAGTTACTCCTGGCGGTGCTCGGGGGACCATATGGGATGCTGGGAATCGAACCCGGGTCGGCTGCGTGCAAGGCAAACGCCCTACCTGCTGTGCTATCGCTCCAGCCCCAAGTATGTTATATTTTATTAAATTATTTCAATTTTCTTTTTCACAGGGCTGGAGCGATAGCACAGCGGGTAGGGCGTTCGCCTTACACGCGGCCAACAGGGCCGACCCGAGTTCGATTCCTCCGCCCCTCTCGGAGAGCCCGGCAAGCTCCCCTTGACGTATTCGATATGCCAGACACAGTAACAACGAAGTCTCCAATGGAGACGTTACTGGGCCCGCTCGAACAAATCGACGATCAACGGGAGGGCCTTTTACCTTTTCTTTTTCACATAGGTTAAAACCGTATAGCAGTTAACAAGTACAGATTAACATTCATTGATATATAATTCGGATGTATAGTTCTGATAATTTTTTTGCCATTTTTATTAAAGTTTATTTGGAGCAAGCATTATGAAGTAAGCTTGCTATATACCTGCCAGGGTTCAGGCTGAGGGGTGGCAGGGACCCTGGGGACAGCAGTGGTGAGATTGGTTACAACATTGTAGGCCTGAACCAATTCTACTATGAATAACTCTGGAAATCATGGGCTGGAGCGATAGCACAGTGGTAGGGCGTTTGCCTTTTGTGTCGCCAGCCTGGCCGAGCCGGGTTCGATTCCTCCGCCCCTCTCGGAGAGCCCGGCAAGCTACCGAGAGTATCTCGCCCGTAAGGCAAAGCCTGGCAAGCTCCCCGTGACGTATTCAATATGCCAAACACAGTAACAACAAGTCTCACAATGGAGACGTTACTGGGCCCGCTCGAGCAAATCGATGAACAACGGGAGGACAGTGCTACAGTGCTTGGAAATCATGGTGTCTTAATTAAAAATAGGTAAATAAATAAAAAACGTGCTTAAGCTTAACAGCAACCCCCCCTTCAAATTTAGGCCTGGAGAACTAGCACAGTGGGTAGGCTCAATCCTCAGCAACCTGTATGGTGCCCTGAGCCCTGAGCCAGGAGTGATCCCTGAGTGCAGAGCCTGGTGTGACCCCCAAACAACAGAGAATATTCCTTAAGTTCATCCAGTGTCCTCTACCACAGTGAAGTTCGTTTTCATCTGGGTTCATGTATATATTTATGCTCTTCTGTCAGAACTATTCCTTAAGTGTACTGTCATTTATATTTTTTTGCTTCACCATCCTCACATATATTAATAATTAAAGATTTATGGGGTCTGGGGGTCTGGTTCTGGTTTTAAACCCAAAGCAAAAAAAAAAAAAAACACCTCCCCCCCCAAAATCAGAAAAACCCAAGGAAGCAAAACCAGGTTGATGGAATCTGGTTTACTGTCGAATTAATCGCAGTGTGGAACTGGGCAGACATACACTGATGTGAAATATGTAGACAGGTCCGGGGAGGCCCGGGTGGCCAGCTGCTGGCCTCTGACTCACCACAAGAGGGTTTCTCTTTTATATTCATGGCAGCAAGTGAACAGGAGATAGCACAGATGTTTTTAGGTACATTATCCTGTTGGTAAAATAAATGGAGTCGTCACCATGAAAATATTTTTATTCCTGCTCTTTATTTGACTTATTAGGTTGAAGAAGAAAGGAAGATTGAGTCCATATTTATCTCTTCAGGAAATTCTTTTTGTTTTTGGGTCACACCTAGTGATGCTCAGGGGTCACTTCTGGTGGTGTGACCATCTCATATGGTCCCCCCGCTCACATGGGGGACCATATGAGAGGCTGGGGATGGAGCCTGCTATCTTGGTTAAGTGCTTATACGCTGTGCTGTCTCTCTAACCGCATCTTCAAGAAACTATTTTCTTGGGTCAGAGAGATAGACCGGGAGGAAGGCACTTGTCTTGCATGTAGCTGCCTTGGTTTGACCCCTGGTACCTCATACTCTGACCCTTTGATTTGACTCCTGGTACTGCATACCCTGATTCTTTGGTTTGATCCCTGCGATTCTAAGCACTGCCCAGAATGATCCCTGGGCAAAACCAGGAGTAAGTCCTAACCCCAAAACAAAATAAAACAAAAATAATTTTCTTGAAACTCTTTATCTCCTTATATTTATCACTTTAACTTTGTTTTTAAACATCACTGTGTCTGGCAATCATATTTTATATCATGCTGTTGTTCATTTTGAAGGTTTTTTTTTTTAATTATGTGACTTTTTCCCCCCTTTATGCTAAGTATAGAGAGTTAAAGTGAAAAAAAAAGTATAAAATATCATCTTAAAAATAAATTTCTTGGGGCCAGAGTGATAGTAGAGCAGGTAGGACATTTGCCTTGCACATGGCCAACCTGGGTTTGATCCCCGGCATCTCATATGATCCCCCAGCACCGCCAGGAGTAATTTCTGTGTGCAGAGCCAGGAGGAACCCCTGAGCATTGCGGGGTATGACTCAAAAAACAAACAAGCAAAACATAGTAATAATAAATTTCTCTCTGGAATTCATGCATCCATCATTACTTGAAAAAAAAAAGAGAAAAACATTCAAGAAACAAACAAACAAAATAAACAACTTTTCTCATACTTTAGAAATGTGCTGTTGTTTTGGTTTAAACTCTCAAATACAGCCATTCATTCACTTGGGCAAGTTGGATGAAGTTCCGTGCCCAGATTTATCTGGATACAAATTAAAACCTCCTCAAGCATAAACTTTGCTGACAGCTTTTTTGTTTAAGCAGTCCTTCCTATGCCAACAAATAGAGGAAAAGTGGTGAGATTGGGATGTTTTTCCGCCCTCTGTGTACTTTTAGGTAAAATCAATATTAAAATAGCACCCAAATATAGGAAAGTTTCATTTGCCATGTTCAGTCGAAAGTGTTTGCGTGTAAATAAGTGATCTTAATAACAGTTATTTTTTTCTGACATACGTTGGCTTTTGAGTTTTTCAGAATTTGCTGTATTGCTTTTTTTGTTTTTGTTTTTGTTTTTTGGGGGGTCACACCCGGCGATGCACAAGGGTTACTCCTGGCTCTGCACTCAGGAATCACTCCTGGCAGTGCTCAGAGGACCATTTGGGATGCTGGGAATCGAACCCGGGTCAGCCGCCTGCAAGGCAAACCACCCTACCCACTGTGCTATCGCTCCAGCCCCATTATTGCTTTTTAACCTCATAAACTCAGTCTCTAAGAACTCTGGGGGATAATGAATATTAACAGAACCGTCTAATTCAATCTGTTTAATTTTGTTATGACTGATTTTTTTTTTTTTAGATCAACTCCTCTGCTCCACAAAGGTATAATACCTAAACTCAGGTGCATTTACTCAGTTTGCTGCTTTTTTTTTTTTTTGATGTCTCTGTAGTTAGAGTCATCTTATGATGATTGAAAAATTGTTTACTCCTCAAGACTTGGATTTTTGGATAGCTTAGTATCAAAATTTGCCAACTATTTCTTAAAACTACTTCATTCTTTAAACCCTGAAATTGAAATTAACTCTACCTTCATTTTTTTCCTTCTTTTGGCAGAGAAATTGCTTTTACTAGGCGACTTCACGAGACGAGTTCGTGTCAGCTCAACTATTATTATATGGGTTTCTACATTCATTCATGTCCCAAGATGAGATACAAGGTAAGGTTGCTTTTCACGTGTGCCTACCGTTGTGCTTCCTTACTTTCTTCCCATATGAATTTAACTCGTGTCTTTCTCCGGTAAATAATAGATGCTCATTTTTCTGTGTGTCAAACTTGGCCTGGAATCTTGCTGACTCACTGCCTCGGACACTGGTTCTCTGTGCTTTATAGGTTAATCTGTCAAAGGCAATTGTGCCCATCGAACCCCCCGGAAATTCTGAAACTTCAGCAGACCCCTCTCCACAGGGGCGGCGCAGCACAGCGCGCTAGTCATCTGCCCGCATAGTTGTAGTTTTGTTCTCTCTGGACCCAACTCTAGGAAATGTGGGATGCAGCATAAGCTTTCGATGGGGAGACCTTTGCAGACCTGGGGAGTCTTCATGACGGGCCAGTGAAGCTGGAGGAGACTCTGGTTTCCGGCACAGTCTTGGGCCAGAGCCTCTAGATCCTTCCACCGTGCTGGCAGACTCAGGTCCCTCTGCCCCGCCTGGCCCCTGCTGCCAGCTCTGAACCGGCTCTTCCTGAAACATGCATTCCGGGGGGGGGGGGGGGGGGAGACCGGGGCTGTCCAGCGTGCAGCCGGGGCAAGGTGATGGGTCTGCTAAGTGGCCTCGGGGGCTGTGGGGTTTGCTCCGCCCGCTGTGGATCACGAAAGGGTTCGGCTGAAAGTGCGGAGAGGGCCGGGAGGCGAAGGCCCCCATGTCAAGCCAGAGAGAACAGGGTCGTGGGCAGGGCCCGCACCCTGCTGTGTTCGCGTGGAAGGAAGGTGAGGGATTCGGCGGTCTTTTGGGACTTGGGAGCCACTAGTGGTGGCAGAGCGAGAGGGCGGCACGTGTAAACGATGGGATCAGTATGTTCATATGTGTAAATGGTCATTCTTTACAGTTAGGGGACTTTCAAGAACGTGCCAAGTTGAAAAGTGTCATTGAAGCCCTGTTTATCTGCCACCCGGATTCAGAAATTATAAGAACATTTTATTTCACCCTTTCCTTCACCCTCTGCGCTCCCACTGTGTCTCCTGTGGAACTATTTAGGGGGCAAATCCAGGGTTTTCCTTCATCTGTCAGGATTTTAGCATATATTTCTTTTTTTAAAAAAAAGAGCACTTTGGAACCAAAATTGCCTACTAATTCTGAATATTCAGCATACAGTTCTGAATATCCTAGATCGAGTCAGTGTTCAGGTTTCCGCAGTTATTGCTTAATGCTGGTGTTGTTTGAATTTGGGGAGGGTCCATGCAACCGGAGTGCTTAGGGATGACTCCTGGCTCCGTGGTGATTCCCAGGATCCTCCTGGTGTGCCTGGAGACGGTATGTGGTGCTGGGGATCCAGGCTGCTTGCATGGCAAGCTCCCCCGAGCACCGCCAGGAGGAATTCCCGAGTACAGAGCCTGGAGTAAGCCCTGAGCGTTGCTGGGTGTGGCGCCCCAGCTGACCAACCAAAACACACACACACACACACACACACACACACACACACACGATAAAGAAGGAAGGAGAGGAGAGGCAAGGAGGAAAGAGAGCAAGGACAGTCAGTGCTTTGTGGGAAGGTTCTGTGTCCATTCCCTGGTAAATGACCCCCCGGGCTTTGCTGGTGCTGGCTGGCTTCATTCCGTTGCTGGGAAGAAGGGCTGTGTTAGTGGCCACCATTCCTGCCTCTCTGTGCAACACCAGCATTAAGCAATAACTGAGGAAACCCAAGTTGGGGACCCCCCTTTCGCTTGGAGCAGCGTGACCCCAAACCGGTCTTGCCCCGTGCCGCCGGGCCTGCCAGCTCTGGCCTTACCCATTCAGGGCCGAAAACTCTCAGGGCTTCGTGGGCGGAATGAAAACGGCCCCTTTGCTCCGTTGAAATGAGAATTTGCTGATTTGTATGAGGACACCGAGCTGCCTGCCATTGTTCGCGGCAGCCTGACGACGATGCAGGCCAGCTCGCTGCATGCCCGTCACGAAGACTGAAACTGGGAGTGCCCGACGGGGATGGGGCAGGACCGCATGCCTCTCACCGTGTCCTGGTTTGCTGCCGCCTGGTAGCTGAGACCAGGATGCGTTTCCTCAGTCTCAGGATGGGCAGTTTAGAACCATTTCTGGTCACGATGGGTCGGTGGCAGGTCTACCTACTAACAAAACAGCAAGTGGCTGGGGTCGGAAGCGTGGGGCGCATGCAACACACAGGCCTGGGTTGTCCCTGGCATCAGAAGAGTGGGCAGGGACCGGGGGTGGGGGGTGGGGGAATGGGACAGCAAGAAAGGCGCTATTATACGAAAGTGGCCAGTAGTGGCGGGCCCCCTGGGCAGCCGAAGCCAACACTAAAGCTACTGTTTCCGAGTGGGAGTTTCTTTCGGGCACGTTGGGTAAATTTGTATTCTTTTCAAAAATGATTCCCCCCCCAGGCCAGAGCCATAGTACTGCAGGGAGGGCGTTTGCCTGGCAGGTGGCCAATGTGGGTTTGATCCTCTGCACCCCATACGGTCCCCCGAGCTCCCCACCAGGATGATCTCTGAGCGCAAAGCCAGGAGTCAGCCCTGAGCACCACCGGGTATGGCCCCCAGATGGAAAGAAAACAAAAAACAACCCTCCCGGGGCTGGAGTGATAGCACAGCGGGTAGGGCGTTTGCCTTGCATGCAGCCGACCCGGGTTCGATTCCCAGCATCCCGTATGGTCCCCCGGGCACCACCAGGAGTCATTCCTGAGTGCAGATCCAGGAGTAACCCCAGAGCATCGCCAGGTGTGACCCCCCCCCCAAAAAAAAAAACCAAAAAACAAAAAAAAAAACTCCCCCCTTCCCCAACCCCTTGCCTCGTGAATTCGGAACAAAGTCACTAGTGGAACAGGGAAACGAGGGGAAGGTATTGCATTACTTCCTTCTGTGCTGTTCATTTTCTCTGTAAGAAGCGAAGTTGAATAGTCAGCCGGTTTGGAGGGACGCGGCCTGGAAAATGAGGTGAGGACTGGGCAGTCGAAGAGGACACGTCAAGTGTGAAGGGACAGTCGTCCACTGGCAGCAGCGTCCATGGCAAATAAAACAGTGACGTCAAGGTTAAAAATAGTGATGTTGTGTGCTCAGCATTTGAGCGGTGTCATGAGTTTTAGAAGCAAAATGGTTCATAAATGAGTCCTTTCAGCTGGTGATTCTGTGTAGTCCTGCAGTCATACTAAGATCCAAATGTTACTTCTTCCAGAATGCTACCTTATATTATTTGCTGGCATTTTCCAAGGAGACATTAATATATTGGGACTCACTCCTATTCTCTACAGGTGAAAGTGCTTTTAAATCTGGCTCAACTTTCTGTTGCTCAATTCACCCAATTTTGAGATATCAACATTAATGAGTAAAGACGATAAAGACTGTTTGGAAGTGTTTGAGAGTAACATTTTGGGAATCCCGGTTTCTCGTTTCCAAATTCTGAAAATCAGTATGTAGTAGGGCTTTGGAAATCGTTTTGAAACCTGGGGCTGGAGCAATAGCACAGCTATTGGGTAGGGCGTTTGCCTTGCCCGCGGCCAACCCGGGTTCGATTCCCAGCATCCCATAGGGTCCCCTGAGCACCGCCAGGAGTGATTCCTGAGTGCATAAGCCAGGAGTAACCCCTGTGCATTGCCGGGTGTGACCCAAAAAAGCAAAAAAAAAAAAAAAAGTTTTGAAACCTATCGAACAGGGATTTAGCGTCAGAGCCAAAGTTCCGTGGGGAAGGCGCTTGTCTTGCACGGGGCTAAGGCAGGTTCCATCCCTGGCACCCCATGTGGTCCTCAAGCACAGCTAGGAGTGATTCCTGAGTGCAGAGCCAGGAGAAACCCCTGAGCACGGCCGGGGGTAGCCCCAAAACTTAAAAAAGAAATACAACAACAGCAACAGAAAAACCAACCCCCGACCGCGGATTTAGTCCAGAGTGAAAAATAACCTGGGAAGCAGTTCGCCATTCAGATAAAACTTTACTTTTTTTTTTTTCCCTCCCACTGAATTTACCATAGAGCTCTTGGGGAAAACAAATCTGAAAATTTGTGGTGTAGTTAGTGATTTTGTAGATTTTGTGTGATAATAATGGTCAAATATTTGAATGTTAAAGCCAGCATATTCCTGGCATGGTTATTTGATCTCTGTTCAGTTAAAAACATGTTTATTTACATCTTTATGTCTTAAAAAGTTTCTTCCTGTGTATTATGATTAAAGACATCATTCTCGGCACCTGAGGAATAGGAATTTTTTTTTATTTCATTTAAGGCTATTTAATTATATTTGAACAAAGAAGAATCTTCACTGTGGAGGGATAGCATAATTGTTTATAAAAAATGGGACTTTCCCCATCAGAAATATGCTTCTCTTCAAAGTTGTAAAGTAGAAGTCACTCCAGGCATGAAAACTTTTCATTGCAACTTAAAGGTCTAGAACTGGAGACCAACAAAAAGTAACTCAAGGGGCTGGAGCAATAGCACAACGGGTAGGTCATTTGTCTTGCATGCCGCCAACCCGGGTTCGATTCCCTGCATCACATAGGGTCCCCTGAGCACCGCCAGGAGAAATTCCGGAGTGCATGAGCAGCCAGGAGTAACCCCTGTGTATCGCCGGGTGTGACCCAAAAAGCAAAAAAAAAAAAAAAAAAAAAAGTAACTCAAAAGAAAATGAACTGCATATTGTTGTAAAATCTCTCATTTTTAAGTTAAATAAGGGTAAATTAGGGCTGGAGACATAGCACAAAGGTAGACCATATGCCTTGTGTATGTGACACCTAGAGTTTGATCCCTGGCACCAAAAAAGAGAAAAACAGACCAAAGGAGAACTCCCCACAAAAGAGAACCCCAAACAACTGGAGGGGGAAGTGGCGGGGGGTCTCGCTCCTCTTGGCATGTGTGTGCACGGCACTCTGTTCATTAGGGCGCGTGCATTTCCTCGCACCCTGGAGTTTTTTATTTGGAGCCCCGGCAGTGCTCAGAGCTGACTCCTGTCTCTGTGCAAGAGGAATCCCACCGGGCGGGGCTCTCGGGACCATACAGAGTGCT